GGCTGAGTCGACTGACATGGAGCCTCATGCCGCCCCGGTTCATAGGCGGAGGAGGCGGAGAAGAGGATTGTGGCTCTGGAGGCTGAGCATAGCTATAATGAAGCTAGGTGGCCCCAGGAGCTGAAGAGGAAAAACAGCCTCATCAAGTGGTAGCAGTCGCACAACGCTAAGCAGACGACCTCTATCAGGAAGTTCCAGGGTGAAGTGGCTAAGCTTAAGGAGGATGTTGGCCGTTTCCAGTAAGGGATCACCGAGCGGGATGGTCACATTGCCTCCTTGGAGCGAAAGGCCGAGTTCGAAAGGTGCCAAAAGGTTGTGGCTCAGGAGAGTGCTCGGTCGGATCATCTCTTGGTCGGGAACTTGAAGTTGGACCTCAAGAAGGAGCGATCGGCGCACCAGGCTTCTAAAACGAACATCCTGGACTTGGAGGGTTGACTCGCCAGCTTGGACTTGGAGGAGCACAAAGTGTAGGTGGTCAATGATTGGCGCCATGGTCCCTTAGGAAAAAACGAGGCGGCCTTGGCTTGTAAGGCTGGTGTTGACTATCAGGCCTCATTGCTTCCCTCCGCCTCTCGACCCACACCGGATTATCTGTACCCTCCCCAAGTTTTCTGCTGTCTCGATCTTTTGAGGGAAATTAAGGCGAGTGGAGGGGGGATGATGCTAGCCTTGGATGACAGGAGTGATGACGATGAGGCAAGAGGCGACCATATAGACGTCCCTCCTGCCCTTCCTTCAACCGCTTATGCTGTCGTCGGCCCGCGGGTCTTCCAAGTCCCACTCTCGACCTTAACCGAGAGGCATGAGAGCTTGTATCTTTTCCTCTTTTCCTTTTGTAAATACTGATGTAGATGTAAAATTTCTTAAAGACGGAATAAAAATTTGGACTTCGTCATACCACCTTGTGTGCTTTCATTTACTCATTGTTTTAGCTTTCGTTCGCTTACGGCTTCATCTTGATTGAGAGATTACGAGTTAGTTGCAGTGAGTTGGTTGTGTATGGGCGACTCGAGTGTTGGTGGGGTGAGTCGAACGGCTTGTCCTTTATTTTGTTGGCGGCGAGGCGCTTAGGTCTTTTTTGTTGAAGACGACCGAAAAGTTGGAGTGCTTAGGACTTAATGAGGACGCCTAGGTCTTTTTGACAAATAACAACCCGAAGGTTGGGTGCTTAGGTCTTAATGAGGATGCCTAAGTCTTTTCGGCAAATGCCAACCCGGAGATTGGGTGTCTAGGTCTTAATGAGGACGTGTAGATCTTTTTGCCCGGTTATGGTGGTCGAGATATGAAAGTGGGAGCAGACTGCCTGACGAGTGTGCATTGGTTTATCCTGTGGAGGCACCACCAAGAGCATAGGATTCCTGCATAGAGTTGGCACTACGAGAGTGCTACACAAGAGGCAGATTCAAAAGGGTTTCTTTTTATAACGAATAAAATTTTGTACAAGATTACTGAAAGTATTTTCTGAGATGTTCAATATTCCAATGACGCTACAGGATCCTTCCATCTGGGGTTCTTAGCCGATAACTACCTGCTCGCAACTCCTCAAAAATTATGTAGGGGACCGCTCAGTTGGGAGCCAGCTTGCCTCGCCGGATATCTTTGTTGAAAGCGGCTTTGCGTAGGATGAGATCACCTATGCTGAATCTCATAGGTCAGACCTTGCTGTTGTAGTA